CTGAAAGCCAGAGTTTGGCTGGAACTTGCAACTACTTTTTTCAAGAGAACGTAGTTTTCGAGAATTTTTTGGCTTTATGCAACTCGATAATGGTTTCAGTGAGCATGCTCATCTCGAAGAATTACAATCAGATGCTGAGAAACAGGTACAAGATCTGAATTCGAAGCTCAAAACTACGGAAGAAAAGCTGTCAAGAAAGGAACAGGAGCTTGCGGCTATGAAGGAGGCCCAGGTACTTGTGTACTTTTTACTATTTTTTTTATCAAAGGTCATACTTGCTGTTCAAGGCTGATGGAGCTATGGCAGTTTCAAATTTGGAGTCGCAATTGTCTGAACTGAAGAAGAAACTTGAAGAAAGTGAGACAAAGGCAGCTGAGGAGTCTAATAGGTGTGCTCGTTGGGTCAGAATAAAAACATCGGAGCTTTTTTAGCTTAACTATAGTTGGCTAACTTTTGATTTTCCATCATTTTCCAAGCAAATTCGATCTCTTATTTCATTTTTCACGTGCTTGTGATTGAATTCACCGCTTTTTTAATTAGCAAATTTGGTTTTACTCCCCAGTTTTCCATCTGCTTTTCATAAGAATGAGAAACAATGAGTTTATTTTTTCATTTCAGATCATCTGCGTCTTTGCAACAGTTGGAACAGAAGATTTTGGCTGAGGAAAAACGTGTTCTCGAACTTCTTGAGCAGTTGAAGACGGAGCAGGCTGAGGCGAAGAAAACACTAAAACAGGTCAAGGATGATGCCAAAGAAGAGCAGGTACTGCACCGCTTGCACATGCCCAGGCATTCCGTGTGGTTTCCGTCCCTTTCTGCTCGCTTTGGTCCATGGTGACCGCTTTTTCCTTCTTCAGTGTTCTGTCTTAATTTTCGCTCTCCTCTAAACTCGACTCTGTTGCTTGAATGTGTTCACTCTGACTACTTTTTGTGTGTGGAGATAACTGTTCTTTGTAGGCTTCTCCAATGGCGGTCAAAATCCGTGAATTAGAAGAGCTGAATGATAAAATGCGAGTAGAATACATAGCGAAGGCGAGTATAAACGCCGTCTTGTTAACACTCGCCGATTACACACACA